TCTGATGGCACAGKGTCASCTCTGATRGCACAGGGCCAGTGTCACCTCYGGCAAAGGCACCRTCCTCACGCAGGTCCCATCCCYGTGCCAGGCTGGAGGGTGGGATGGACTCACGGCAAAGCTGCTCCGGGACATTTCCACAAACGCCTTTAAACCCAACTGTGCGTGTGAATCAGTTTGTTATCATCCCTCGAGCTCGGAGCTGTCAGCTGAGTCCCTTCCCTGCGCTCCCAGCGAGGCTCAGCTGAGATGTTTGGGGTAAGGAAGCAGCACTCTCCAGTCACTCATCACAACAAACAGAGGGGTAACTGTGAACGGGCACGAGCAGGGTCACTGCCACCTCCAGTGTCACCCTGTGCCCTGCAGGGAACGGCCATGGCCAGCACAGAGCCGGGCTCAGCCCCAGAACCGGGGCTTTGTCACCTGCCAGGGACTCTGGGCTGGGCTGTCACACTGATCAGACACTGCAGACGAGGGAAATCACAGCCAGGAGTGACACTGGGCACTTCCAGTGGGGTCACCGGTGACTGGACTGTCACACTGATCAGACACTGCAGACGAGGGAAATCACAGCCATGAGTGACACTGAGCACCTCCCGTGGGGTCACCGGTGACTGGACTGTCACACTGATCAGACACTGCAGACGAGGGAAATCACAGCCATGAGTGACACTGAGCACCTCCCGTGGGGTCACCGGTGACTGGACTGTCACACTGATCAGACACTGCAGACGAGGGAAATCACAGCCATGAGTGACACTGAGCACCTCCCGTGGGGTCACCGGTGACTGGACTGTCACACTGATCAGACACTGCAGACGAGGGAAATCACAGCCATGAGTGACGCTGGGCATTTCCCGTGGGGTCACCGGTGACTGGACTGTCACACTGATCAGACACTGCAGACGAGGGAAATCACAGCCAGGAGTGACGCTGGGCACTTCCCGTGGGGTCACCGGTGTCCGGCCAAGGCCGGGTGTCCTGGAGCAGCGAGGAAGGTCCGTGCAGCGCTGCTGAAGGATCTGCTGATGAGGATTTGCTGCTGGAGGATCTGCTGATGAGGATTTGCTGCTGGAGGATTTGCTGCTGGAGGATTTGCTGATGAGGATTTGCTGCTGGAGGATTTGCTGATGAGGATTTGCTGCTGGAGGATCTGCTGATGAGGATTTGCTGCTGGAGGATTTGCTGCTGGAGGATTTGCTGATGAGGATTTGCTGCTGGAGGATTTGCTGCTGGAGGATTTGCTCCACACGCTGATTCGTGGCCAGGGCAGGGACAGCAGCAGCCCTTCGGCCACTATCCAGAGCCAGAGGAGAGTCCACTCCCACCTGCGGCATTCCTGGCCACTGAACTGGCCCGGGTACTTGCCCACACTCTGGTGGCTTTGCTGCCTTGAGGTTTTTGCCCTTCTCCTCCAGAGGCTGGTGTCACTGGTGCTGTCACGGTGCTCGGGGTGTCTGGAGGAACGCTCCAGCCCAGGGCTGTGCTCACGGTGCCAGCCCGGGGCAGCTCCACATTCCCCGTCACTGCTCACCGCCGGCTGCTCCCGTCCTGCAGAGCTCCAGGACAGCCCTGGCACAGCAACTCCGCTGCCATCATCTCCCAGCACAGCTCTGTCCCTCTGTCTCCGCTCTCAGCTCCTGCAGCATCCCCCAAAGCAAAGCCCTGACCCCGGGATGGGCACAGGAGGTGTCCACGCCGTTCCACCTTCCAGGACAAGCACAGCCCGTGTTCTCCGTGGCTTCCACCCGTGCTCACGTGGAAAAAAAAGCTGCTTTATGCAGCTGAGGAACTTCTCATCCACCCAGCACGGCTCTGCATCCCGAGCTGACCCCTTGGCAGGCTCCAGCCCTCCAGGACGCTCCGCTCCGGACTCTGAAACGCCTTGTCCGTCTGCGGGCAGCCACCTCCGCATCACCTAAAAGACATCGGGCATTTTTGTGCAGGAGAGGAAGGAAAACAACAAGAAAAAAAACAAAAAAATAGGGCCTGGCTCTTTCATTCACGTATTTATTGGGCGGACAGCGCGGCTGTGGTCAGCTGGGCTTCGGGCTTTACAGACGGGGATATTTATAAGGCACGCGGAGCGGCTCAGCGTGTGCGTCCAAGTCATTCCTTSCCCGGCACAGGGGATAATGTTGCCTTTGTTGGGCTGCCTCCGGCACAGCAGAGCGTGCCGTGCCGCTCGGCCGGGCCCCTCGCCGTGCTCCGGCAGCCCCGGCACAGCCCCGCTCCCTCCGCGCACACCGCGGCCCCGGCAACTGCCACCATAAATCAATGGGGACCGAGAGGCTGCCAGTTAGACTAAACAAGTGCATTTGCAAGGATTGCTAACCCTCATTAATCACTCTGACAGTCCTAAAAACACATTTCCCCTTTAATGACTGTATTTGGATAATCAGAGCTTTTTTTTTTTTTTCCTCGCGGCGCGGGGTGAGTGACRGTGGGCGCGACTTCGGCGAGCGGCGGCGCCGGGGTCAGCGGAGAGTCAAGCGCTGCAGGTCGCTGGCAGCTCGGGGTGAGCAGAAGGTGCTGCTGTKCCACGGGGAAAAAGAGCCACCAGCACGGCCCCGACACTGCTGTCCCCATGTCCGACACCCACCGCTGTCCTCCCAGCCCCAGCCGGGCTTGAAAAGATCTTTTTCTGTCTCTCCGTGTTCCCTTTAGGTGACTTTTGCCTCCTGGAGAGGTTTGAAACCTCGCACATTTTTCTGTATAAATGATGCAACACATTAATGCACAGCACATTATGAAAATGGTAATTCAAACCCATACAACTCTAAATTAAGCCATACATTATCCGACCCACTCAGCCATATATTTTGCAGAAAGACAGGATTGAATCAAATCAAACCGAAACTGTGGAGTGCAGGTTGTTAGACAGAATGATTAATAAAGTGCATCCCAGTGCTCTTATTATAAAATGAATTCCGCAATAACCTGGGCATACATTACACAGGGAGTTATTTAATATATTGGCAACGCAACCGCTCCCCAGCAGCCCCAGCCCGAGCGCCGCCGCTATCAGATGATCCTCGCAGTGTTTACACGGTCTGGCCCCGCCGCTGCAGTCCTCAGGGAGGGCAAAAATATTCCTGAGGGAACCYCCTGCACGGCAGGAGCAGCACCCGAGGGTGAAGGGAGGGTGCACGGACTCGTTTTTGGAGCGGGGACCACCCTGGGGTGAGGAGGGTTTGGGGAAGGGAAGGGATGCGG